TGGCTTCCCACGGTAAAAGAAACAGAGGGTACACGGGGCCTACCTAGTTCCCTCCACCCCGTTTATAAGGTCACTAGTCCTCCATAACTTAATTACTTCCTAAAGGCCCCACCTTTTATTACTATCACATTGGGGATTAAATTTCAACTTGTGAATTTGGGAGGACACATTTAGCAAGGAACACAAAGGATTGCAGCAACCACTGGAATTTGAGAAGGAGCGAGTCCTGGAACAGATTCATCCTCACAGCCTACAGGAAGCGTCAACCTGGAGGACACCTTGATTTTAGCTTTCTGGCTTCCATAATTGTGAGAATACATTTTTGTTGTTTTTAAGACTTCCAACGTGTGGTGCTTTGCTATAGCAGTCTTGGGAAACTAATACACCATCTGACATGCAGTATGTTATTTACCAATTTGTTTTTCTGTCTCCCCATGAGGGGGGAAAGGATTCCTTCTGTGTTGTTCACTGCCATGTCTTCCATGGCTGGCACAGTGCCGGGCACAGAACAGACACCACAAATACTTCCTCGAGAAATGAATACAAGCTGATTCAGCTGGGCCTGGTATGTGAGACTCTCAGCACTGGAGGTAGCCATTTCTGCTGCATCTACCAACTACCGTGGTGACTTGACTGACTCATTGGTGGCAGAGGAGCTGCCACAGGTGTAGCTCATTTAGATTTCTGAACCGGTGTGTTTCCAGGCTACTGACAGGCTAGGGCTTCACCAGTCCTATTAAGTCCTCCCCTCTAGAAATGTGGGTTTTTTCTTATGGAATTAGGGCTTAGAGAGAGTGAGAGTTACTTTAGGGCATGGCCTGGGTCTTATTCACTCTGGAATCCCCAATCCCGGGCAGCGAGATAGAGCACTCAACAGATGGCTGTTGAACGAATTAATGACTAAGAATAGCTCACACTTTTAGAGCCCTCATAATGTAGCAGGCAATGTTCAAAGCACTTCATGTTTCTTTTTTTCCTCTCAGTGCATTTACCCTATGAATTATGTGTTGCTTAGTTAACATGGTATTTCATTTGCATTCCCTGAGTGCATGCTGACTGACCAGGGGGAGAGGTGCTGGGTGACAAAGGCAAGCCAAACAGGATTAAACTCCTATGAAGCACCAGGTGGATAATCCACCTTGAAGGCTTGAGAAGGGAATGTTGAGATCATGCCCCTTCCCATGGGACTTTTCTTTGGGAAATAAACTTGGTCATAAATATGGTGCTTGCATTCACATATCAACTCTATGGTAGTGCTGTACCCATTTCATGCAGGGGAATAATCAAAAGTGAGTCATCAGTCCACACCAGAGCTGAAACAGGTTGCAGGACTCTCACACCACCTGAGCTTTGGGTGCTTTGCTGCAATCTTGCTTCCAGAAGCCTCAGTGTAGTTTCTGCTTTCATCTTCATGTGGTGTTCCTCTTGTGTGCATGCTTTTGAGTCCAAATTTCATGTTTTATAGGGACTTCCAGGCATTTCCTGAATTAGGGATCTACCCTAAGATCTCGTTGTATCTAGATAAGAATCTCATCTTATCTAATTATATCTTTAAGGACCCCTTTTCCAAATTGGGTTACATTCTGAAGTCCTGGAGTTAGAACTTCAACATGATGACTTTTGAGAGGCACAGTTCAAACCATACTAGTAACTTTGCTTCTTTTTCCTTTTCAGCCAGGTGATGATCCGATGCAAGAGTATTTCTAGTGTCTGCTGTTGAGGGCATACTGCTGTTTTGGTTTGTGGTTGAGAGACAGAAGCCTAAGATGAGAGGCCATGACTTAGGAAAACCTAGTGGGATTTTAAGGGAATTTGACCCCAGAATTTTATCCTCATATCATTTTAATTCAATGTATTCAATGGCTTAGATGGCCTTGGCCTTCCCAGCCTGGCACACTAAGCAGCTGACTTAATGGTATGTGCATGTGTGTGCACACTAGTGTATGTTGTGTGCATATGTAAGTGTGTACATGGTGTTTGAGTCAGAAATATCTCTGAGAACTGATCCTTTATTACCATCCTGATAAAATTATTTTGATTGGGTCCAGTGCTTGTTAATTTGCATTTCTCATATTTTCATACATCTCGGCCCAAATGCATATTAAATGAGCTTCAACCTCCATGCCAGCCATGCCATCTTACTACGATCCCTAGAAAACAAAGTTTCTCATTGATTCATGCTTTACTGCTACTCAGATTGTGCTTCTCCCTTCTCAGTAGGGTGACTTTTATCTTTTGAAAGCAAATGACATTAATGTATTAATGCCTTTCCCAAAATTTTCAGGGTGAGTTTCATTAGTGCCTTTTTGGAGTTTTTCATTCCTATGTTATGGCTCCACATGCTAGACTTTGATGGTTTGTTCACCAGACTATAAGACTGTCTACAGTCTAGTTTGCCTTATTTATAGGTCTTGTGAAGAATGAAAATGCAAGGTCCCTTATTAAAAAGTTACTAATAATTTCAAGATGGTAACAGAAGAACAATGAACCAAGTGTGAGGCTCTCCCGAGAGTGTGATCTATAAGGTTGGCCTTGTCTATCTGCCTGGTCTATGGAGCGCCAGCCTCCTCAGATTCCCAGTGCCATCAGTCAACAAATGTTGTACAAATAAATGAATCAATCAATGAATGAATATTAAACTTTTGGTGAAGGCAGTCATTTTGTACGAGAAACATCGCAGCTTTTAATTGCCTGCAAAAATCCTCACAAAATCACTGAGGTGAGAGAAAAAGAATGGTTCTGTGCAGTTATTTGTAGTAACAAAAAAATCATACTTTGCACTCATGTAAGACTTTTCATCCTCAAAACACTCTCAAAACATTAATTAATCCTTACAACAGCATCAATGAAATTGAAACTAGAAGGAGAATTTGAGGCATGCAAAGTTTAATTACCAATATTAAAATTTGGCACACAGCTAACTCTCCTCCTACTAGGGCAGTCAACACATTCCATGCCATCTCCTCTCCCTCTGAGAAAAAAAAGGGAACATGGGAAATTTGTTCTACTGCATTAGTCAGGAAGGAGGTAAAGCTGTTCTCTGAGAAACCTCAAGGGGTGGGGAAAAGTAATGATACACCTGAGTTCTTTAGTCCCTTCTAAGTTTCCTTAAGAATCTGGGATCTGGGATCTGGGAGGCCAGTGAAGCGTTGTCATGAGCACAATGTGAGCTTGCTTTGAACCAAGATGTGGAGAATTCTGTGAGGTCATAAGGCGAAGCTCGGCCAACTCTCCCAAACAACACAACCACGACCGCCACCACCAACACAGCAACAATAATGGTGATTTCACGGAATCCCGAGTCCCATTTGGATACTATGGGGAGGTCTGTATCTGCACTGTCCAGTTTGAGGGGCGGTGTGTGCAGAAAAGTTTGACCTTGTACAAAGACCCAAGTGACCTGGATGAGTGACTGTGCAACAGAGAGCTCCAAGCATTTTGAACTTTCGGGTTCTCTAGGCTGGAAGGATGGGGACGAGGTAGTGGTGTGCCTTAGCAGGGAGAGAAGCTGCCTGCTCCTCTGGAGCAGAGAAAACCTTTCACACAAGGCAGCATCTGGCTTCTGGAACCCCCAAGGCAAGCAGGGTTGTCTCGTGTTCTCAGCCAAAGTCTCCAGTCTCCTGAGGGGAGGTGAAACTTAATTCTTCATTTCTTAACAGTGGTTTGTGCATAGCAACTTTGTGTTAGTCAGCTTTTCATCACTGTGACAAAATACCACAGTAAAACAACTTAAAGGAAGGAGAGATTTATCTTGGCTTAAAGGTTTAGAGGTTTTAGTCCATAGTTGGGTGGCTCCAAGGCAGAAACATCATAGTGGAAAGGCTTGGCAGAAAAAACTCCTTAGCTTGGACAGCAGAAAGAGGGAAAGAGCCAGGTATGACTAGACAAGAAATAGTCCCCAAGGTCACAACCCTGATTTTTTCCCTTCAGCTGGACTCCACTTCTAAGTTTCCATTACTTCCCAATATATCATCAATTTAGGAACTCATCAGTGGGTTAATCCACTCAGAAAGTTAGAGCCTTTGTGATCCAGTCACCATCTGAATGCCCCACTTCTGAACACATGAGATTTTGGGGAGACACTTCAGATTTAAACTGAAACAGGTTTCTTTTCAAAAAGACATATGGAAAGGGGGAGATAAAAGGGTAACATCGCAGAAGAGAAACTTGACAAACACTAAAGCCAGGTGATAAGATCAACATCAAGGTGCAAATGTTGTTATTTTCTTCTTCAGGCCTAGATTTTACAAAAATTCCCTGATTCTAAGGTTTAAAAGCCTGCTACTGACAGTAGTAATCAAGCATCTCCCCAACAAGTGTCTATTTTCTTCTTCCTAGAGCTCAGCGATGATCATATTTAACCTGATCCTTACCACCTATTTCCTACCTTGGCTCATTGGCCATGGTTTCCTAGTTGGATCTTTTCTTCTTGACTTCATTTGTTTTGATCCTTGACATTTTTTGTCATCTTGCAGACCATTGAAAGCCAGTCATGAGTCCCATGAGGTGGCAGTGACAGAGCTGAAGAAGCTTTTGGTGGCAGTTCTTGGTGGGAAGATGACTTGCATCACACAGTCTAGAGATGAAACTTGCTAGTTAACACTTTACATGGGGGTGGTGGTGAGGAAAGAATTTCTTTTCAAAATTCCCAACTACTACACAAACCTGATTCCTGCATTTACAGAAATGAAGGCAGACAAGTGTGCTTGGCCTCAGGTTGAACTTATGGGGCCATTTCACATTGTTTTTGTAAATCCTATGTAGTTATTTTTCTGTTACTGTTATTATTTTTAAATATGCTTCTGAGTTCCTTCACACCCAAAGAGTCAACCATAAGTGCCTGGGTCTTCTCTAGGCCATCATGACTCTGAAGCCAGGGGTTGCTGGAAGCATGTGAGCTTGAATTTATTTATGGAAAGTATTGTCATAGTGTGTTGCAGTGGGCTTCGCATGCTGTCCCAGCCATCTATCCATCTCAGAGAAAGACACAACCAATTTGATACGATTTAAGTACTTCTCAAATGGTTTATTTGCCATTCACGCTAGTTATAATATTGGATTTACAGAAGAAACTTTGGTACAAAGAAAGTAAGGCTCCAGTAGCCCCTGGGCGGCAGCAGCCCAGCTGCCCTGCATAGGCTGGGCATGATAGGTTCTCCCAGAAAAGGGTGGCTTCCCACCCCTGCTGTGCACAGTGGGCTGTGAACAATGGAGGCCTGCTCTCTTGCGCTAGTTAGAGGGGATTCTGGGGGATTCTCTCATATCTTATCTGGTGTAAGATCTGAACTTAACAGTTCCCCTTCAGCAAGTGTTCAATATGTCAGTACCAGGGAAAAAGGAAGCCCACACATCAATTTCCAGGATGCTTTGTGGCCAGATCTAATAATTGCCACACAAATAGACATTTGGTGGAGGCTGAAGTAGAACTATGTTTCTCATTGATTTTTCAGTAGATGTATTATAATGTCCTTTCAATTTGGAAGTTTATTCTTTCCATTGATTTTTATACATCCAGAATAACACAAATAACCAACAGTTCTTTTTTGGTTTTTGCACATTCATTTCCCCCAGAACAAAAAATGAACTTAAAAAAATTGGAACCATGCTATTAGCTGTTTACAAAAGTGAGTAAGTAGCTCATTTTTAAGTCTAAAATAAAGTAGAAAGAAGCATTTTTTTCTACAGTATTTAGCAAACATAAGAAAAAGTCCTTTGAAACACTTAAAAATTGAAAAAAGTTATTACAGGCATTAACAATAGTTTATAATGAAGCTTAAAATCTATTTACATACATAAATACAATTAATTTTGTTGATGCAACCCTTGTGGAAGGGGAAAAAATGCCAAATGATCAGCTTCATCAATACTGACCTGGCTGAAGGGAGGGAAAATGATTCCCAACAAATAAACAAATCAACAAACAAAAAAACCCCAAGCAAATGTATACTCTAGGGTAAACAAAAGTTATTTTGCTCAGATGTAAAAAATGTTTTCTGAGATTACTGTTAACCTATCTTTTCATGTATAAAAGACCCCAAATATGTCATTCCCCCCCAAAAAACAAAACCATCCAAATAAAAAAATCACCAGGACGGAATGTCCCAAGCAAACAGGTATTTCAAGACAGAAATCTGCAATCCTTAATTGCAAGACATTTGAGTGAAACCATTCATTTCCTTTCCAATCAGAGCATTTCTGTTTATCTGCACAGAAACCGTAGGCAGCAGAAAGGCTATTTACTCACTGATTGTAATTTGCCCAGGAAGGTTTCTGTTGCTGCATTTGGATAGCAAGCAGATCCAAAATGGTTGGCAACGTCTCTGTTCTGCTGGAAGAAACCCATAAGTAGGAGAAAGGCTGACTCACCCTGTTCTTGATGCAAAGGGAGAAGAACTGGACCTCCTTGTGTTCTGGACATTTGGTATGGGGTGTGTATGTGCTATCTCCTTACAGAGAATGGGAGAATGCAGGACGGAGAAGGTGGAGTTTGGAGGAAGAAGCAGGGAGAGAAAGAAGAAGATAGTGGAGGTGGGGCAGAAAGGGAGAGAGATACATTTGCAGATAGTGAGAAAGACAGCAAGAACTGAAATATGTCCGTGTTGAAATCATACATAGTGGCATGAATAAGCAGTGCAAATGGCTTATTCAATCTTTCTTCTCCTGGCCCCAAACTCCTAGATACAGCCAGTTATTACATGATTAAAAATCTTGCTGATACCTTACTTTACCTGTAGGCAATGAATAAAAAGACACCTTAATTTACTGGAAGGTAATGAATATAATTCCTCAGCAAGAAACGATGTGTTGTGTGAAAACTATCTCCAAAATAACTAAAGTTTGAATTTTCCTTTCCTGAAATGATTAAAAACTATGTATGTTGGTAAGATTCTGTGAAACTCTGAACTGCCAAATCAGGAAGCGTACAACAAAGTGAAGAGCCTTCTCCATGATGGCTTTGAGATGTGCGAGATTATCTAATTCCCCACTTAGGGTAGTAGGCTGGTTTTCAGTTGGAATATCTTTAGGTATGAGAATTAAGGTGAAAAATACAAATTTTTCCTTCATCATTCCCCAGAATTTTCTCAGGTCAGATATGGGCAACATGTGCTGAAAAGAATATCTAAATTTGGGGGAAATAGGCTATTGGTCCACTCCAAAAATTAAATTTTTAATTTTTCTGACATCTGATGGCAGTTTAGCTGCAAAAAAATATAGTATGGAATAATTTATGAGACTGAATTGTGGAGGGAGTTATATCTAAATTGAAAATGAATATATTCTGAGTTTCTGTGAGATCTGTTACAGTTCTTCTCTAGATAAGAACAACCTGACATCACAAGCTGCTTTATTCTCTTACCAAAGTGCTGCTGCATCTGTGTAAAACAAATAATCAATATATATATATATATAACTAAAAAACAAGTTGTTTTTAAATAAGTCCAGCTGTTTTGCTGCCTGCAGCCAAAGATCTAATTTGAATGCTTAAATTTATAAAATAAAAATCAAACACTGTTCTGAAGTCCTGCTTTCAAACACTCTTCAGAGTTGACCTGAAATTGTTCCAACTAATTTAAGAGGTACATTAAATAACCAGATCATTTTGAGCACACATATGTCAAAATCAGCAGTTAGTATTTACGAGTTGTACAAAACTGCATTCTGACCCAGTCCTCCAATAAAAATAGTGCCATAAAATTTACAGTGACATGGGATACACTTGAATTGTAGCCATGGGCAGCAGCGACATGAATCTTCTCTCCTGTTATGCTGGTGCGCACAGATGAAAGTGCACAGACCCCTGGGGTAGGGTCTCAGCCTCATAGAACAAAAACAAAGGTGTTGTTGAGCAGTTGGGATGGGGATTCCCACGCAGGTAGGATTATGTTCTCCCATGTGATTCCATCTAGGCAGGTAGAAATTGACTCCTCTAGGCCTGCTTTTGGACTGACCCTCAGAAAATTCAGCTGGAGACCTTTGGCCCTCAAAGGTACTTGGTCTTATGCCTCCTACTCCCACTTTTGGAGGATAGCTAGAAGTTTTGTTCTGCATCAGTGAATGGATACTGTATCACAGAGAAATATTTTCTTGCTCTCCCAGGATTGACAGGTTAAGGAATTCCTAAATTCATCATTTAGTTTCTATATAAATACTGCTCCTCCACACAGCTTACTTTGGATATGTTCTGTTACAAAGCATGTCTGAAATTATCAGCCCATGGTATAAGCATACCCCCCAGGCAGAAATTAAATCCTTTCCAGAGGTGTAATCATTAGGACCTGCCTGAGTCCTCTGGGACTAGAGTTGACCTTCTACTTGAAGGGAGGGAGCCAGATCTGAGAGCCTTTGTTGAGCCTAGCAGAAAATTCTGTATTTTTGATCCTTGGAGTGACCTCAGTTTTTAAAATCCTATTAAAAACATGGGTGCATGAGCTACCAACTTGTTTAATTAAGATGAAAGGGAGTTTAATGTAAACAATATTTCTAGATAACCAAGTGATCACATTACCCATCCTTTTTTTTTTTCCAGGCTTCTTCAATGTGACACATTTAACTCTGGCTACTATAAAAAAGTATAGTACTTGATATTTTTTCTTAATATAAGTACATTTAAATAATTAAAAAAGTATCAACACATAATTAACTATCTGAACGTCAAGATATATAAATATCTAGGGATTCCTTGTGGGAATACAGTAGTTAAAAAAAATGACCCAAAGCTGTAGCTGTCTCAAAAGAAAAATAAAAATAAAAACAAAAATAAAACAACTACACAAAAGTTCCAAAGAAAAGTTAAATAAAACTTATAGGAATGGGAATCCTATTTCTCAATTGTCAAAGCAAGAAAGAAGCAAGCTCAAATTTATATATATATACATATATATATATGTATATGTATATATGTTTTAAAAAACACACCCAGATGCAAATACGCATTTTGCAATTTATAAGGTGCAGGAAAGAAAATCAGAAATAAGAATTAGATGCCAAACAGGATGAGCTGTCCCCAACCAAAAAAAAAATTCCTAAAATTCCACTGTCTGGAATAAACAACTTGGTTAAAAAGTTAAGTCAAGGGTATAAAATCTTTCTTTTATTCACAGCATTGCTAAATCAGAAGCATTCACAGTTTCCCTCTGGGAATCTTCCTGTCTGCCTTACAACGTGCCCACGAGGCGGTGTTCCTGAGGACACCCCCAAGTTGTGTCCTGCTGGAAAGACTGATGGGCCAGGGGCCGACAGCGGAGCGAACTGCGTGGCTTCAGAAGCGCAGGAGGCAGAGGCCCGGCGCGACCCGGGAACAGGCGCTGGCCCAGCCGGTGCCGGGCTCTGACGACGAGGTCCAGGGCTCGCCGCGCCACGCTCAGTAGGGCCGCCACACGGCCTCCTCCAGGCGCGCGGCAGGCGCCATGTTGGTGGGCGAGTTGCTGTGGCTGCCCTCAGCCTCCACCACATCGCTCTGGTTTGGGAGGCTGGGGTTGAGCAGCGCCGAGCCCGTGGAGGCGTTGGTGCAGGGCGGCAGGATGCGCGGAGGGGACCGCTCGCCGCCCACCATGGAGAACTGGTAGGAGCCGGCCGAGGCCCCGTAGTACAGGTGGTAGGAAGGAGAGCTGGCCTGGAAGGGGCCGCCCTGCGCCTGCGACGAGCCGGGGTAGGGGGGTGGCAGGTACGTGTGGTAGCGTGAGGCTGAGCTCATCGCCGACATGCCTATGCCGATCCCCGACGTGACCGGTGTTGGGGAGTAGGTGAAGGCGCCAGGGTAGTGCATGCGAGGATCGGAGATGGAGGGCAGTGCGGGGAACTGGCGTGGGTCGCCGAAGGCTGCCAGGTCAGGAGCAGCTGTGGGGCAAAGTAGATGTCACGTGAGTAGGCTGCTGGGGAGGCCATGCCCCATCCTCCAAAGTGCCCCTGCCCCAGAAGAAGAACTACTCAGAATGGTGCTACCCAACATGAGGGAAGGACTACCGAGAATCCTCTTGGCCAGGAAGTGAAGAAACTACCCAGAGTGCTCTTGCCCAGGAAGTGGGGGGAACTACCCAGAATGCTACTATCCAAGAAGATGGAGAGACTACCCAGAATGCTCTTGCCCAGGCAGTAGGAAGACTAAATGCTAATGGGCCAGAAGACGGTGTGAAAAATATATAGTAATGGCAGATGGTAATACATATAGGAAGGATATTATGTGATGGGGCATATATGAAGTGATATCATATAATAAATATATGTGGCTATGTGCATAGTATCAATAATGTAAAATATAGATAAACTATTGATACAATCCCATGTTGGTAGATTACAGCCTATCGGCCTAGCTGGCTGGGGCCAATTTTTATGTTCCAGAACTTAAATTTTACTTTTTTAAATGGTTGGGGGGATTTAAAAAAGATTAGTGTTTCTGATGTCAAAATTATAGGAAATTCAAAGTCCGTCTTCCATACATAAGTTGGAACATAACCTCACTTTTATATATTGCATATAGCTGCTTATGAGGTACCACAGCAAAGCTACATGACGATAACAGAGACTGCAGGGAAGGCTAAAATATTCTTTGGTCCTTTACTGAAAAAAATTTTGCCTATCCTCTAAATTAGTCAATATTATTACCAATTAGTGTACTAATGATACAACCAGTATATTAATTTATCAACATTAATATGTAGTGACTTACATAACACTATATGGCAATTAATATAATGGATGCATGGATACAGTACCAATAGAATATATTATACATAAAATAAATGTATAACAGTATTAATAAAAAATAATATATTGCAAATATTTAGGTTGAATCCTAGCAGATGCCATTATTGTAGTCCTTGAGTGGTTGAAAATGGGCAATTTTCAATTATTCAACATAATGTATGCCATACTGACTGGGAGTGAATCGTAATGATATTCATGATCATTCATCTCTCTTCCAGATCTACCTTCAGACTGTCTTCCAAATCTTTAGCAACATTACAGCTTTAAGTTCATCTAGATTCTTTAATATGTGTTTCCCTGGTTGGTTAATGCAAATGGATGTAGGACCTTTGATTTATTTACTGCATTTTTTTTTAACATTTTGAAATTTTATCAGGAATAGCAATACTTTGTCTATAAAATTCACTTTGTTAGGACTGTAAATTTACAGTTTCACAAACTGGCTTTGGCTGTACTGTGGTTCACTGTTTCCCTCTGAAATTGCTTTCAGTCTGCCCTAGGGAATTACTAGAGCGTATGAGTGCCAGGAGGTGTTCCCCATGTCCTGCAGATCAGAGTTTATCAAAAGTGTCACTATTAACTTTTTTGGTCAGATTATTTGTAGGGTGTTTAGGGGCTGTTCTTGTGCATTGTAAGAGGTTTGGCCTTACAAAGTGCGTCTGGTCCTTACTGGACATACTAAGGATGTCTGGCCCTTACATACTAGATGCCATAGCACCCTCCTCCTCTGTGGCAACCCAAAATGCTTCCAGACATTGGCAAATAATGTGAGAGTGAGGATTAGGGAGGCACAGTTGCCCCTGGCTGAGAGCACCACTGTAATTAACGTTCACTTTTTTTTTTTTTTTTTTGTGCTGGGGATCGAACTCGGGACCTTGCGCTTGCGAGGCAGGCGCCGAAACCACTGAGCTAAATCCCCGGGCCTCCACTGTAGATGTAGGACAGTGTCCTGGGGTGGCCAGGACTATAATGGATACATTAGCAAACCCAAAGCAACAAAACAGAGCATACACATGAATTAAATGCTTAAAATTTTAAGTTCTCAAATCAGCATACAAAATAACTCTGAGCTCAAATAGTATGTGTCCTGTGTCCTTTTGAGTACAGGACAATAGAGAAACTTGAGGGAGTCAGAAGCTTGCTCTGAAGGGAAAGCTACCAGAGTGGATTAATCTGGTTTTTGGAAGGCATCGGCTGTTGATCAACTTCCTCATATTTCAAGCCTATTATTCCAGCAGGGAGAGCTAGTGTGTTCTCTTTCTCATATTCTCTCTCTCTCTTTCTCTCTCTCTCTTTCTCTCTCCTTCCCTCCCTCCTTCCCCCCACTTCCTCTCTCTAATGATCTTTTATTGCTCTAACACATTAAAAAAATGAACTCTTGTGTACATTTGGGCTGAATGTGATGAGGGATATACTCTTCATCAGAGAGGTAATTAAAGTTTATAGGAACAGCCGAAGTCTGTGGCAAATCCCTCCACTAATGAGGAAACCAGGAGCCTGACTTTCAAACAAACACTCCTGTTAATCTTTTCAAAGCGAGTCAGACATGTGGACAGGGAAAAAGTTGTAAACTGACAGTGCTTCTAGGGCTGCCCTTTCTTGGCCCCTCTCTAGCTCATTCTCAAGCCAGGCTGTACCTCATTCCACAGGGTTCATCCCTGCCTGCTTGCTGGTGCCATCTGTGAGCAAGCTCTGTGTCACTTGTTTTCGCTTATACAGAGAGCAGTGACATGTCGGAGAGTTAACAGGAAGCTTTGCTCTGTTTTTTTTTTCCAGTTAGATTTATGCAGTCCAGAGAGAAGCCGAGGTTGTAAGAAAACCATTAGGCAAATACAGTTAATTTGTTGTCATCTGATGCAATGCTCTGGACACAAATGACTCTGCCCATTATTCCTCTTGCTTCATTTGACCTAAAACAAAAAGGTGAATCTACTGGAAAAATGAATGAAAGGTCACCCTGTTTCACAGCAATGTCTGGACATGCTCTGCCAGTCTGTTGCAACTACCACATGGTAATGTGGTGATGGTACTGAGTTACTGGAATCCTGAGTGAGTCTGTGATTTGTCATGGGCATAAGTACTGGAATGATGTTACAGTCTCAGCTGTTGGGAGAAAATAGTTCTTTCACTTGTGTGCAGAATGTCTGAAAGATCTGAAATATTGCCCATATTTCTTCTATTTGCACGGTAATATCATTCTACAAAAAAAATTCATTTGGTCAGATTATTGTCTTTTTTTAAAAACACACATTTGATAATAACAACTCCAGGCCTTCAGATAGGCTCAGATTCCAGTACTCTATTCAAATAGTGTATTTGTTTTCATAAGTCTGGTCCAATATTGGCTATGAAGACCAGTTCTGTGCAAATCAGCCATCCAGCCATAGTTCATCTGTCCTTTTGGCTGTCCTGGTGCCTCCTTGTTCCATAGCAGTGTGAGCTGGGACCCTTGATATTCAGAGAGAGCTTTTTAAGAGTAGGAAATCTGGGGATTAGGAGGTTCAGGTATTTTAGTTGGAAATGTTTCCCCATCGAAGGGACTAAATATTTGCCATGACAGCTCAAGTCTTTGCTCTGCAGCTTGACAGGGATGAAAGCAGCCCCACTCTGGGGGCCCTCCCACTGCCCCCAAAGGATTAAACAACCTGAGCAGATAATGGCTGCCTTAAAAGGATCTTTTGCATGACTCAGATTAATGCATGCTGTCTGTCGCCCAGGTTGGCAGCTAAACATTAATTAAAAAAAAAAAAAAAGAAAGAAAAGTAAACCTCCAGATGACAACTCTTTTCAGACAAGGTGTGGAGTCTGTCTGCTAAGGATAGAGAGAGACAGACAGAGGCCACATCCTCAGTGCTGAAGGAAGGCCAGGTGGGACTGGGGGTGGGGAGAGGGGCAGCACACAAAGCTCCTGGGAGGGATGAAAAGGTGAAGCAGCCACAGAGCAGTGTCAAGTTCTCAAAGCTGTCCGCCTGGGCAGTGACTTTCTTTTATGTATTCCACCCCCTCTCCTGCCCCTAGGTTTAGGACAACACTTTTCAGGCTTGTGCTCCAGGTTTGATTTCTCAGAGGGAGTCCTGCCAAGTTGAAGAGCAGTCTCCCATGCTGTTGTCTGCCACCGATGAAAGCTCCTTTGGAATTCTCTGGTCCTCCTTCCAAGACAGCACAGGATCATTCTTGAGTGCTGAAATGGGGCATGGTTTTCATCCATGTCACATTCCCGTGCCATAATGGATCCTCCCTTACTCTTTGGGTAACTGAAGCCCTGGTTATGTAGAAGCATAACTGTGATTTGGGATTTTGAAATATACATGTTACTTATTCCTTTAATAAAAAAAGCCTCCCTTATATCTGAGCACTGGTGCATTTGAGGTGCTTGGGCCCTGGGGTTTGGGGACTATAAGGTGCCAATTTTGGGTGGTGAGCAAGTGAGAAGTCTTAAAAGTCCATTCCCAGCAACAGACCCGCAGCAGGGACATTTGCAAGGAAAACAATAATTGTTTCAGATGCAGACCATAGTGAGTGGGTGGAGTAGTGCCACAGAGAAGAATCAGTGAAACCTGACAAGTTCCTTTGGAACCAAACTCTGTTCCCAAGGGATGAGTTTTAAGCAACCACAAGCTGAATGGATGCCACAATTCCCATAATACTCTCTCAACTCCTTAGACCAGCATTTGCCATGAAAATCTTTGCCATCCTAGCACTGATGGTCAAACCTAATGTGAAAACTGAACACTTGAAACTTCCTGTTTTACTGTGGCACCAAGGGATATTTGAAGACAGTGGTTCTCAACTAGGCGAAGTTTTGTGGCAATGTCTGGAGACGTTTTTGATTGTCACATCTAGAATGGGGGTGCTCCTGGCACCTAGAGGCCAGGGATGCTGCTAAATATTCCACAGTGCACATGACAGCTCCCCACAAGAAAGAATTATTTGACCAAATATCAATAGTGCTGCTGCTGAGAAGCTCTGAGAAAGCATTCAATGAAGCTCTGAGAAGCAGCTAAAGCAGCTTGTGAAATGTCAAGCAGTCACAGTTGTCTGGAAAACACAACATTTCACAACATTTAAAATGGCAGACATGACTCCCTTTGCCTGCCCCTTAATCTGCTATAATCTGATCCCAGGAGCTGGAAAGAAAAAATGGCCACCCTCCCCCCAACACACATGCAAATGTGTTTGCAGGCCTCAAAGTACTGATGTTCTCTGAAGTATTTTCACAGTTTGGTTCAGCTCCAATTTCAAAGCCCCAAACAGTAAGTTTCTTCTTTTGCCTTCAACAAAGGAATTTTTCCCTGTAACTGATTTCCCTGCCCACAAGCAAAGGTGAATGCCAAGCCCAAGGGCTCAAAGGTTAAATGACTAATATTTAATGAGCCCACATTCACAACAATTATGCTAACCATGACACCTGAGCTTTCCATGCTATTCCTCTAACCTCGGTCTGAACAGCCTGTAGTTGGGAACATCTCATTTGGCAAATATTTGCCTCTCATTTCATAGGAACCCTATTGTGCTGCTTGTGGCACTCGTGAGAATTCACCACCAACACCTGGACCAATCCCCTCGGTCTAGAATTCAGTTGGAATGATGAGTTCTAGACGCTGAACACTTGGGCTTTTCAGATTATTGACCCTTCAGCCACCACCCTTTCCCGCCAAACATGAGCAGCCCTCAACTGCCTGAGACATCGACTTTTCCAAGTCACTTCTGCTTTCACATCCGTAGTTTCTGCCTCTGAGAGTTAAGTAAAGGCAGTGCATCGTGTGGCACTTGGAGCAGAGATAGGGAACTTGGTCTTTACACCATGTTTTGTTTAATTAATAACAGCCTGCCAACCCCTTCACACATCTCCTCTATCTCCCAAACTTTGCCTTTCGGCTCGGCTGCAGATATGTTTTCAAGAGCCTTACTTGAGAGCCGACTGGAAAGCTCTGCAGAGAGGCTTGTCATGCCACTGGCACGTCCAGGCGAAATGGGTGTTGCGGGGTGCACGGAAGGAGTGGTGATGGATCCCAGATACTGGTAGGACTGATCGTAGGACCATGGTGGGGATGGCTGGATCTGCCTTGTATCTGCAGAGAATCAAAGAGATCAGTTATAGGTTGAGTGGGGTGAAATTTAATAAGAAACTGTCAACCTTTGTTTAAATATACATGCATGGAGCCTGTTTATCAGTGTTTAATAAGCCTACGTGGGTCTAAGAATCTGCCTCTGTTGAGTGATTTGTTTCCTAAAAGGTACTGATATACAGTTTATGTTGGATTCTTGGAGATTTTTGTATGATAAATATTCCCTCCAGAAGGTTCTATTCAATCGTGCTAATAATGATGGCGTGGATGATGTTTTACATTCATGTTCAAAGCACTGGACTACAGCATTCACGACTTCACATTCTGACTGCCAACACTCTTTCATCTTTACCAATAATGACAGTGATCCCTATCAGAAACATTTTTGTAAACTCAGGGTGTTACCTGTCTATCTGTATCCAGTAAGCAAAAAGCATGTAAGAGTTTTGGGGTTTTTTTGTTTTTCTTTATTTCTCTCTCTCTCTCTTTTTTTTTTTTTTGTATCTTTGGCAAAATTATTCCTCCAGCTTTTAAATCTTTTCTGTTGAGGCAAATAGTCTCTCAAGCACCGAAGGTCTGGCTGGGGAGCTGACGAGCTTAGGACCTGACAGTCTGCCCCTTTGCAGAACTTTGTTTGCAACTTTACAGGGCAGATTTTTTTTAGCAAGTATTTTCTGTATTGTCATTATAAGAGGCCTAGGACAGACAAGAGATAAAAGTTGGACTTCAAAAGATTTAGACAGTATGGATTTCGTAAATTTGACTCCAACATTCAGAAGTGTCTTAGTTTCCAAATGCATTATACTGTTCACAGACGAAAGGGAGGTAGGAGACTCTTGTATTCTTAGGCAAAATGTGCACTGATATTTAAATTATACATTGTACCCACGACAGGACAGTTTTACATTTCCTTAGGGTTAAACATTAATTTTCTCCTTGTCCCACATTCTTTGTGGACAAGAACAGTAGCAGACTACCATAATTTCCAAAGGTTTCGTCGTAATCAGGGCTTCATGACCCTGGGTACAGCAACCTGGAAAGAGCAGACTTCTCTAGAAAAACACTAAGTTTGAGTTTTGTATATGCTGTGACGTGAAAGAAATGAGTTATTCCCCCTCATTATAAAAATATTCACATTTGGTCTTTCCAGAGCTTGCATTTCCAGCAAAGTTTATCTCTTTTGAAGTTTATGCATTTTTCTGTTTATCTCTTTGAAGTTGCCACAGTGGACAACAGAGTCAGACATTTGGAGATCCGATCTCCCTTCCCACTCTTCTCCTGACAGCTTCCCTTACTCCCTCATACTGACCCATTTATTTCTTTTCTTTTCTTGAAAACAACTAAATTTTAAGTTTCTAAAACCTTGTAGTTCCTGGGCAAATATTTTAACTTGGAATCTTTGAAATCTGAGAGTAAAGAAAGGTCTTTATTACATTCCACATTGTAGAGGATTTGAAAAGATGGCAAGGAATGAAGAGCTGGTCCATGTTAAACCCAGGGAAAAATAAATGCTCAAATTCAGTTGAAGCTCCTGTGCAGTCTTACAGCTAACAGTGTTCCCCCAAAATGGAGGCAACACAAATAGCAAACAGCCCAATATTTCCATGGTGCTTGAAGTATTTTGCTCCAAGTGAAAAAAATATCATGTACTCGGATATTGTCTCTAAGACGTGTATGTCTTACACACACATTTACTAAGTGTCTATACAGTGCTCAAATATTTTAATCACTTAAAAAGCAAACAAAAGAGGTTTTATAATTGTGATAAAGCCCTCCAGGGTGTGAATTGTGGTATAGTAATTCATGCTTGTTGTGTAGCCAGCCTAGCACCCCTAACCCCATGTCTAAAACCACACTAAGCACAAAGTATTATGCTATGATTCATGCTCTGTCATGTTTTACTGTAGTAAAAAAGTTGTGCTAGGCTTTTCTAAACTCATAATTAAACCATGCAAACGTTGCATAATATTTCACAGCCTTTTAAAAATATGCTTTGGTAAAATGATCTTTATGATTAAAGTCCAAGTTCTATGACTTTTTTTTAAACATAGGGTTATAGATTCAACGTCATCTTACTTCACACAACTTAGCTTTCCAGGTGTTGGTGTGGAGAAAGCACTGCAACACCAAAGGCCTACCCTCCTGTCAGTTTTCATTCCTGTGACCACAGTGGGCTATGCTTGGGTTCTTTGCCAATAGTGGGCCAGAAGGTATTGGTGGAAAGCCTTTCCTCACAATTTGGGGTGTTTTGTTCTACATGTATTATTAACAAAAACCAAGACCAAAAAAACAAAAGAAGAAGAAGAAGAAAGCATGACAGTATGGTGTGTTCTGTGTTTAATGTTTACTGTCTTTGCTCTGAGTGGGCCAGCGTGAATGTATGAAGGCAAATAGTGACCTGGCAGGAAGGAGAAGCACGCTCTGGGCCTGTCTGTGTGGTGGGCAATTAGGTGACCTTGGGTTACTCCCTTAGGCTTTCTTATGCTTATCTCTGGAAGGAGATGCTCTCTAAGTTTCTTCCAATGGCGGCAGAGCAGGATTCTCATCACATAAGTCCTTCCCAGTACTTCTTTGCTTAACTTGTATGTTACTTTTGTTTGTAATCATAACTGTGTACATTCTAGAGGGGAGACCTTAGGAACAGTAAGTTGGGAATTATCCAGAAAAGGTCATAGACTGGGGAAGAGAAACTCTTATCATTCTCCAAAGCACAGGCCTACTTGTTCTTGAAGGAAATGTCTCTGATAAGTCAACTCATTAAAAAGAACAAAATGTTATCAAATATGTATTATGTGCCAGGTTTGTGCTAATTCTGACCAATATGGTCCCTGCCCCACTGGAACTTTCATTAGTGAAGATCCACGGCCTCGATAGTGTTCAGAAAGCCTTCTCACTTTCATTAGTCACTGTACTGAGAGTTCATTCATTCATTCACAGGCTTGTGAAGTCATTCACTTGCTCATTCATTCATATTTCCACAAACACTTTTGCTTTATTAGGAGACTCACTGGTGAATGGATTAGTCTCTGACTTCTGGGCGTTATGGCCACTAAGGGAAGCTAAGGGCTATATCCAGGCTAACTGCTAAATTAGCTGCCTAATGTGGGTTTGAAACAGCAGTTCCCAAGGTAGAGGCAAGATCTCTAGTGGTATTTGTTACACGCTTATGTTCTGCCTCCAAGAGGAACACAGCAAGGAAAGCAGAGAACTTAAGTCACAGGCATGTTTTGGTTTGGATCCTGCCCTCACCATAAACTAGCTGTACGGCTTTAGGTGAGTCTCTTGTTTTGTTTTGTTTGGATCCATAGTTTTCTGACTTAAAGAGAGTAATAGTGAAAAATAAGATAAGCTGTATATAATGCATTTATCAAAATTTCTGGTGACAATAAATGTTGAATAAGTCTGAGCAAATTAAGTTTCTTTCTTTCTTTCTTTCTTTCTTTCTTTCTTTCTTTCTTTCTTTCTTTCTTTCTTTCTTTGACAGGGTCTCACTATGTAGCCCAGGCTAGCCTCAAACTCTAGATCCTCCTGCCTCAGCCTCCTGAGTGCTGGGATTACAGCTGTGTACCACCATGCTTGGCTAAGTGTGAGTAATTTTTATTATTGTGTTACTAAAAAGGAAAGGAAATCCATGCCAAGAGCTGTATCTGATGTTTACTGGTAAGGCAGCATAGGCTTACTCCAAGGTTGTGCCCAGGTAATTTGTTTTGTTCAGTGTTAAAAGGGTTGACAGCCATACTCTGCAGTTCTGAGAGGAGCTGGGCACAGGAGATTAAGTGGTAAAGGAGTTAGGACATTGAAAATTTGAGATGAACATGGAGAAATCAACCACTCAGTATCTTAACAAAATTCAGTCTTCCATTCAGTTAAAAGCATTGCATTAGAAAATTTAAATTTGTGCCTTTCTGTAACCTTTTCCCCCCCAGGAAAAATGTTTTGATGCAGCTACTTTTCCAATCCATTCTGTAATGGATTATTTTTAGCTTTTTGGTTATCAAAAAAAGGGTGAAAAAGAGGCCTCTTTCCATATTCTGAACCCTACTCCTTCCATTTGAAACGGGAGTTGAGGTAAAGGGGGAAAGAGAGACAGGTAGGGCGGAAGCGAGTGGTAAGCTCAAAGGTCCATGACGTCTAGTACATCACTCCATAAAAAGTCGAGTGCTTTAATTTTTTAGTGCAACAATATCATAATGTCTTTAAAGTCAATGGTGATCCTATCCAGTAATTTATGTGAAAATGTCCTGCCTGCTTCCAGTTTCAGCTGCAAGAGGTAAAGAACTTGTGAGTCATCATTATTGTCTTTAAAACAAGAAAAAAACTGAACAAACCAAACATCCATGACTTTTCTTGGGCCTCCTGGAAAACAAATGGCAAGGCAAGCTGCTACTTCAACATTCTGAGAGGCAGAGACATATAGACAATCACAGTGTGGTCTGCTTACTGGGAACAAAAACTATTGGATCTATACATTGATAGGAACATTTACTAGTGATTTTGACAAACTGCTAGAGGCTAGTATCTTGTCTGGGAGGGACACTGTTATAGTTTCTTCATTCAGGAACTCTGCTAGGTTCTCAAAGAATCCAACATAATAACTATGGGGCTACAGCTGAAAGAGCTTCCAGGTAGGCATAGACTATTTAAGGAGATGTTTGTAAGGAGGCCCAAAGATGACAGAGGAGGCAAAAAAATAAGGACATTAGAGGAATTTGAAGCCTCTGGCACCAGTAGCTGCAGGAAACATTCAACATGGTCCAACTCCTGCTTAGATGAACATAGGAACACACACTAAAGGCCAGTTTACTTTGGTTCCTATTATGTGATACATTATGTCTAACTTTCAACAAAAAAAATTACAATAAAGGCAGGAAAACACAACCTGAAGAGAAAAGCAAGTGTCAGAAACCAGATTCAAATATGACACAAATTTTAGAATTACCAGACAGGGAATGTAACTATGATTAATTAATGTGTTAAAGATACTAATAGAAAAGTAAGACAAC